AGCAGCAGTAGCAGCAGCAGCAATAGTAGTAGCAGCAGTAGCAGCAGAAGCAGCAGTAGTAGTAGCAGAAACATCAGCAGTAGCAGCAGCAACAGCAGCAACAGTAGCAGAAACACAGCAGTAGCAGCAGCAGCAACAGCAGCAGCAGTAGCAGCAGCAGCAGCAACAGTAGCAGCAGCAGCAACGTATAAATAAGCGGCGACTTTATCTTGCAGCCGCCACGCCACCTACCGGACACAAGCACCCAACCGTCACGCCACCTACCGGACACAAGCACCCTACCGTCACGACATCCTCCAGACACAAGCACCCAACCGCAACCCCACCTTCCGGCCACGAGCAACCGACCGCCACGACCCCTACCGGGCACGCGCCGCGTCCGGTCACCACTCCTACGGGACGCGCGTCGCGTCCGGTCGCCGCCCTTACGCGCGCGCCTCCATATCGCCTGCCACGATCACGACCGCCTGCGGCTCTAGCGGCGGCGGCGGCATCTGCAGCGCCGTGCGGCGGGCGACGTCGGCCGAGCGCGCGGCTCTGTTCGCTTACCAGCCGACGCGTCTGTTCGTGCCGACGCGCCTGCACGTCGGCCCGCCGACCGGCCGACCGAGCGGTCACGGGTTCACGCGCGACGACCGTCGGCTGCGCGTCGTCGCCTCGCCGACGACGACGACGACGTTTCTGTCGCAGCGCACGCTACCAGATGGCGCCGCCGTCGTGCAGGCCGCTTCCGGTGTCTCGCGCGTCGGTACGGTGGCGGCCCGCGACGACGGTCGTCATGGCGACGGTCACCGTGGTTACGGGGTGCGCGTCGGCCACGGCGATTTCGTCGACATCGACCGACGATACGCGGGGAAGTTCGGCTTTCAGCGCGTGCGCTTCGATTCCCTGCCCGTGCACGTCGGCCCCGCAAGCGCCCTACCCTCGTCCTCCAGGTTCTCTCGTCGCGCCTCCTCGCTCTCTCAGCTAGCCGCGCGCGCTCAGGGTAGAGTCGCTCCTTCGTCGTACGTGATCGCCGCGAGGGGGCGCGTAGAGGTTGGCGGCGCGGGACGGTACGGTGACCGGGAAGTCGTCGTCGTCGCTGTAGATCCGACGCCGGCGCAGCACGGACGACGCGTCGTCACGACGGTCGAGCACGGCCGACCGACGCGCGTCGTCGTCGCCACTGCCGACAGCGACGACGGTGGCTACGGCGCGTCGGCAGCCGACGAAACCGGCCATCTTGTCCGCCGACAACCGACGTACGTGATTCGCAGCGGAAGTACGAGCGGAAGTGACGCGCAACGCCACGGCGGATATCCGCAAGGGGGAGGGGTGTCTCAGTATGGTGGTTCGAGCGCAGGGTTGCCGGCGGCGGCGGCGGGGGAGGGGGAGGAGGTTTCGGGGGCGGTGACGGAGGGAGGCGGGGGAGGGTCGCAGCCGATTAAACTACCCGGATTTGTAGCCGACGATTTTGGCGACGTCTTCGTGGGAACGACGTTCAAATCTCACTTCTACACGGGCGCTGACAACACAGAGTAGTTCACACATGTAATTGGTATTGCCACCCACCTACAGAGGCACAGCGCACGCACGCACGAACACACACACACACCCACACACACACACACACACACACACACACACACACACACACACACACACACACACACACAAGAGGAGAGAGAAAGAGGAGCGCGCGAGAAGAGACGAAAGAAGAGGAGAGTCGAGAGAGAGTGAGAGAGAAGAGAGAGGAGAGAGAGAGAGAGAGAGGAGAGAGAAGAGAGAGAGAGAGAGAGAGAGAGAGAGAGGAAGGAACACAGAGAGAGAGAGAGATCTGAGAGAAGAGGAGAGAGAGAGAGAGAGAGAGAGATCCCCCTGAGGAGGAGGAGAGAGAGCAAGAGCGAGGATGGGGAGTAGCTAGGGAGAGTCTATGCATGACACTTAAAGATTCATGAAGCATACGCTGGCATAATATGCAGCTAATTCTCGGTGACGTGTGGACTGTTTGCACTCTTAACTATGCCCGTCGTCCTTGGATGTAGCATGTGTAATAAGATTGTGATCTATCTAGGCCTGCTATGAATCGTGACTTCATACCCACACCCATCACAAACCCATCAACATCAACAGACCACACACACCACACCACATTCACAGCCACACCACTGCACACCACCACGCGACGTCATGCACGCACAACACGCTCACACACACCACACACACATCACACACACACACACACACACAAACCAACACACACAGTCACACACCACACACAGCACGACAACAGGATAATATATTATTATATATTATTTGTAATTCTATTGTAACTCTATTAGTAGCTCTTTGAATATATATATATATATTATATGTATAGTACGTAAGGAATTCTCTATATACGGTTGAATGACGCGTATACAATAATTGCAGCTACACTATTTACAACGGGCGTAAGAGCGCGACGAGTAAATTTAGTGCCTTAGTAGTTAAATAAATTTGAAGGAAGAAGCGGTTGTGTTGCTAAGGTTCTCGGCAAGCGTAGCGCAATGTTGACGGCCGCCAAGATTGGCATACCTATAGCAGCAACAGAAGTGTTTTTTCTGTTAATGTTGAAGGACAAGAAGCAGCAGCTGTAGCGTGGGAAATATATTAGGGTCAGCGCAGGATGAGCGGCATATTTGCATGTAATTAAGCAATCTTCTAGGTGTGAGTAACACTTGAATTTTGATTTTAAATTTGGATTCTTTTTGCGAGTTTTTTTTCCTGCTCGGAATTATGAAGGTAGTGGGGTGTGTGGCGTAATGTTGTCTAGGTGACTTGTGAAGTGCGTTTGTCTGAATTTTTCAATAGTGTGTTTTCACTGTACGGTGGAAAATCGCCCTTGCACGCACCACTGTCATCTGCACGCACACACAGCTCACACACACGCACACACGCAACCGCACGTCACACAGCACCACAAACACGCACATGCACACACACACCACGCCATCAATACACACACAGCAACATCGCACACACCACACACGCACCACACAGCGCGGCGCACGCACACACACAGTCACACCCAAACACACCACACACACACTCACGACGAACACGCCACATTTTATTAAAGATAGGGCGAACTGATATATTGGTCTGATATTTGCTTGCAGGGTGTTTTATCACGGTTATTGTATGGTTAGCTGGCAGTATAGAGGCCGTAAATCTATATCCAAGTACCGGCAGTGCAGGCCATACCAGCATGCCAGTGTCAGAGTATACGCTGGCATCATGGCAGGGTATACCAGGGATGCAGTGGTCAGGATAGTCGCTGGCATCAGTGGTCAGGCGTATACCTGGCATCAAGTGTCAGGGTATACCTGGCAATCAGTGTCAGGGTACAGGGATAGTGTCAGGGTAATACGCAGGGATGCGTGTCAGCTGTATACAGGGATCAGTGTACCAGGGTATACTCATGGATCAGTGGTCAGGGTATACCAGGCATCAGTGGTCAGGGTATACCTGGTATTAGCAGCAATCGTCTATCGACTCTCATTAGACGTGTGTTAGCGACTGTCAAGCAAGAGCTCATCGTCAACCCAGCACTGCAGCAGCAAGGGAACCCGCAGCAGCAGCAACAGCAGCGACAGCAGCAGCAGCAGCAGCAGCGAGAACATCTACAACAAATACGACAGCAGGTGCAGGAGCGACAACATCAACGGCAACAGCAACAACAGCGGCAGCGGCAGTGGCAGCAGCAACAGCAACAACAGCGACAAGAAGAACAAAGGCAGTGGCAGCAGCAGCGACAACAACAACGACAGCAACCGCAGCAGCGGCACCAACAACGACAGCAGCAGCAGCAGCAGCAGCAACAACAACAACAACAACAACAACAACAACAACAACAACAACAACAACACTCACGTTCACTACTGAGTCTGCGGCTGCATGTGTTATACAAACAAAGGCATCGACTCGAAAGCCGACAACAAGAATTACAGCAACGACTGAAACGACCACAGCATCAACAACAACAACAACAACAACAACAACAACAACAACAACAACAACAACAAGGCGCAGGAGATTCCCTGCTCAACGTTCGGCTGCAGGTGACGTCATCAGCGTCTGGACAGATATCGTCGGTGATTCGTCGGCTGGAGCACGCGAACAGCGCCCTTTCTCGGCTGCGTGACGACATACGGCGTCTGCAATCCTTGCTTACAGGTAATCACCGCTGTCGATGCGTTACTATGGTTACGCTAATGTACGTAGAATATAATCGTGGAACTTCATTTTTAGAAGAATTAAGAATCATCTGGCATTCAATCTTGATTGAAGCGTGTTTCGTTGAAATCACCTCGTATTCACATGTTTGAAGCATGTTCGGACTAATCTACATGCCACGGCTATTTATTACGGCTATCTTATTCTCTCCCTTCATGCGCGTTCACATCAAACTTCTAGCGCAAATATTCTAGCGCTTTAAGTGATAAATATTACTTGGTTTAACACACGCGTCGCCTTTCTGCCCGTATGTCCATACATCACGAAATTATCTCAGATTATGGTGACGAAAAATTTTCTTCTTCCGGTTTCAGACGGGGAGACGACACTTGCAGAGCCGATGATGATGACGATGACGACGACGACGATGATGATGCCGATGACGACGACGACGATGATGATGGCCTCTCCCAACGTCACAGATGAATTATTCGGGGGACTTATTCCCCTATTCGAAGCAGGCGGGGGTGGGTTCAATCAGGCAACGGTAAATCCTGGTCGCGTGAGAGTCCCGGGTCGAAAATAATGGTAAAAATCAGC